CCTTTCCTTCCTTTCCTTTCCTTTCCTTTCCTTCCCTTCCTTTCCTTTCCTTTCTTCTTTTCCCTTCCCTTTCCTTCCTTTCCTTCCCTTCCCTTCCCTTCCCTTCCCTTCCTTTCCTTTCTTCTTTTCCCTTCCCTTCCCTTCCCTTCCTTTCCTTCCCTTCCCTTCCTTTCCTTTCTTCTTTTCCCTTCCCTTCCCTTTCCTTCCTTCCCTTCCTTTCCTTCCCTTCCCTTCCTTTCCTTTCCTTTCCTTTCTTCTTTTCCCTTCCCTTTCCTTCCTTCCCTTTCCTTCCCTTCCCTTTCATTCTCTTCCCTTCCTTTCTTCTTTTCCTTTCCCTTCTTTTCCTTCCTTCCCTTTCCTTCCCTTCCCTTTCGTTCTCTTCCCTTCCCTTCCTTTCTTCTTTTCCTTTCCCTTCTTTTCCTTCCCTTTCCTTCCTTTCCTTTCCTTTCCTTTCCTTCCCTTCCTTTCCTTTCCTTCTCTTCCTCTTCCTTTCCCTTCCCTCTTCCTTTCCTTTCCTTTTCCTTTTCCTTTCCTTCACTCTTCCTTCCCTTCCCTTCCCTTTCTCCTTTTTTCCAGCCTAAATTAAGGATACTTTACATGTCATGCTAAAATTTCTGCAAGGAAATGGTTTTCATGTATAAAGCCAAAGTATATAAAGAAAGACTTTGGGATAATTTGCATTAAAATGATATCAGGAGATTTGCATTTTTTTAAAAAAAAAACCACGTAAGAATTAGTAGTCTGGAAACTACAGAAAGCCTTTGTTCAGGTAAGTTACAACAGGTTGTTTGTTTGTTTTTTTTAAAAAAAACCAAACAAACTTACATTTTTCAGCAAATCGAAATTCTATCTTGGAAAGTTGGACAGAAAAAAAAACCCACCCAAGGAATCTAGTAGCCCCTTTTCAGATGAACAAAAAGGGATAAAGTTTTAATGCACTAACACACAGCGCTCTTACAAGGTTTACAAACCTGGACACACTAAACAAACCGGATTTTTACCGATCTTCCTAACTTCATCTCAAAGCCAAACAAGAGTCCCAGCTGGAAGTCGAAACAAGTTTTCTGTTTCAACTGAAAACTTTTCTCTTTTTTTCCCCCACACATGTGAAGAGCAGAGAGGTCTTCAATTAGGCAATGACTGTGATTCTTTGGCACCCAAATGCAGACACACAGACACACACACACACCAAGACACACACCCGTTCAAAGCCACTGGGAACCCATTTCAACCAACACTCAGCCCAACAAAGATAATTAGGGGACTGGAGGCCAAAGCATATAAGGAAAGGCTGATGGAATTGGGTCTGTCTAGTTTAATGAAGAGAAGAACGAGGGGGGACATGATAGCAGTGTTCCAGTATCTCAGGGGCTGCCCCAAAGAAGAGGGAGTCAAGCTGTTCTCCAAAGCACCTGAAGGCAGGAGAAGAAGCAACGGATGGAAACTCATCCAGGAGAGAAGCAACCTAGAACTAAGGAGAAACTTCCTGACAGAACAATTAACCAGTGGAACAACCTGCCTCCAGAAGCGGTGAATGCTCCAACACTGGAAGTTTTTAAGAAGAGACTGGACAGCCATTTGTCCGAAATGGTGTAGGGTTTCCTGCCTGAGCAGGGGATTGGACTAGATGACCTTCAAGGTCCCTTCCAACTTTATTATCATCATCATCATCATCATCATCATCATCATTATATTACTATTATTATTATTATTATTATCAGCCCAAACATTGAGTGGAAGTCCTTTCTTCCATTTCAAGAGATGCCCAAAAAATAGCATCTCGTTTTATAAAATGGAAGCACAGGAAGTCCTCAGCTTTACGACCGTAATTGAGCCCAACTTCTTCAGTTCTTTTTTTTTTTTCTCAAATTTTTTTTTATTGTTTTCAACATAAGAAAAAAAGCAATCACAAGTACATCACAATTAGAAAACCCCCCCCCACCCCCCACCCGGACTTCCCAAACCTAATCCCAGGATACTATTCAACTAAAAGTAACCTTATACTAATATCCCTAGCTCCACAAAATATAATTCTACATAAGTAGGTGAAATATATGTATATATAAAAAAAGAAGAATTTTTTTTTTTTTTTATCTAAAAACCTAACCTATATTTTTATCCAACTTCTTCAGTTCTGACTGGGATGGTAGGGAATGGGAGGATTTATACTCCTTGCAGACAGCTGGTCATTTGCATCCTTTTAGAGAGTCGTTGAGACCACTTGGACGTTTATCTGTGTCTTCGAGATCACCTGAGCGGTGCAAATGGGTGTGGAGCCTTCTTGGCTTCAGGATGTTTTTAATAATAATAATAATAATAATAATAATAATAATAATAATAATAATAATAATAATAATAATAAAGTTGGAAGGGACCTTGGAGGTCATCTAGTCCAACCCCCTGCTCAGGCAGGAAACCCTACACCATTTCAGACAAATGGCTGTCCAGTCTCTTCTTAAAAACGTCCAGTGTTGGAGCATTCACCGCTTCCAGAGGCAGGTGGTTCCACTAGTTAATTGTTCTCACTGTCAGGAAGTTTCTCCTTAGTTCTAGTTTGCTTCTCTCCTTTGTTAGTTTCCATCCGTTGCTTCTTGTCCTGCCTTCAGGTGCTTTGGAGAATAGCTTGACTCATTTGGGGGATGTGTCTGTGTTGTCTGTATCTCAAACTTAAGCACAAATGGTTCCTGTGGCCTGCCATGTTTTCTGGAAATCCGTTTATGCTCCTGCACCATTTGAAGGAGGTTCACCCCCAAAGTGCATGGCTAAAATGTCTAAGATGGATGACCGAGAATCTCCACAGACGTGTTCAGCAACAGCTAACAATCAGGAACCTATCCAGATGCTAAATCCTTGGGGGTTAATTCTAGTTAGTATTCATTTTGGTATGACTTCATTCTTAACCAAGATTTCCTGGCTGTAGCACAAAGTGCAAAGCCAAGATTTTTCTCGTTTTTTCTTTTATTTACCTCAGCAACGCAAAATTGATGAAATTCAGCCCGATTCCTGCTTTCTGGCACGGATGATTCATGGCTGCAGAGGAACATTATATGACTTATTATTCTCCATCAGTTATTTTAAACCGGGGTTTGGAACGTGGGAAAAGGAGACTGTTCAAAAAGGGAAGTGTTTTTTGGCTGACCTCAACTTGTTACGCTGCTGTTGTGTGTGCGTCTTCCTCTGTTTACTATGCACCAAATCTTGAGAGCGGCAAACTGCAAAACTCGTTTGGAACAAAGGCAGATAAATAAATTAAGGATTGGGACAAACGGCAGGGAAATTCGGCTCGGGATTCTCCGCCTCCCTCTGAATTAAAAAATAAAAAAAGTCTGAAGACATTATTACTTTTGCAGGAGAAGACATCTTTTCGTCATCTTTTCCAGCCATCTATGAATCGTAGACCAATATTTTTTTGCGTTAGGGCATGTCCACCCTAGCGTATTGGATCTTTGATATTTTGAGACGGGGATGTGTATGGACAAGGGTACAGATCGTCCTGCATTTACAACAATTCATTTAGTGACCGTTTGTGAAGTTACAGCAGTACTGAAAAAAAGGGACTTAGGAGCATTTATCACATTAAATGACCGTTGCAGCATCCGCGGGGTCATGCGATTCACATTGAGAGGCTTGACAACCGACTCACATTTATGACGGTCGCAGTGATCCCCTTTAGCAACTTTTGGACAAGCAAAGTCAACCGGGTTACTAATTTAAGATCTGCAGTGATTCGCTTAACAAATGCGGCAAGGGAAGTCGTAAAAGGGGGCAAAACTCACTGAACAAATTTCTCGCTTAGCAACATAAAACTTTCGGGGTCAATTACGGTCGTAAGTTGAGGATTGGAGGAAGGGAGAAAAACTCTTGAAAATAATCCCTTTAAAACCCAGATGGCAGAGTTGGGGAGGGAATTGGATTCACACACACACAC